TTCAGAGGTTATGGCAGTTTGAGCTTCATAAAACACGATGTGGGCTGTAGATAAATCCCTAATCCCTAAACCCTCATCCCTAAACCCCAATCCCTAAACCCTAATCCCTAAACCCTAAACCCGAAACCCCGATAGACCCTAAACCCTAGACCCTAAACCCTAAACCCTAAATCCCTAAACCCTAAACCCTAAACCCCTAAACCCCTGGAGGGTGGTCCTGGCTGCTACCGCAGACGCCGCAAGTGGCGTCTGCAGTTGGGTCGGGCGCCTCAGGGGCCTCCCGGCTGTTGGGGGTTTCGGGTTCCTTTAAAGGGATCTATATGGTTTAGGTTTTGGGGTTTAGGTTTTGGGGTTTCTTTAAAGGGACCTATATGGTTTAGGTTTTGGGGGTTTCGGGTTCGTTTAAAAGATCTATATGGTTTAGGTTTTGGGGTTTAGGGTACCTCTAAAGGGATCTAAAAGGTTTAGGTTTTGGGGTTTCGGGTTCCTTTAAAGGGATCTACATGGTTTAGGGATGTTTAGGGTTTGGGGTTTAGGGTTTAGGGTTTAGGGTTTCGGGTTCCTTTAAAGGGATCTATATGGCTTAGGTTTCGGGTTTGGGGTTTCGGGTTCCTTTAAAGCCCCCCGGCTGTTGGGGCTTTCGGGTTCCTTTAAAAGGACCTATATGGTTTAGGGTTTAGGGTTTAGGGTTTCGGGTTCCTGTAAAAGGACCTATATGGTTTAGGTTTTGGGGTTTAGGGTTTCGGGTTCCTTTAAAGGGACCTATACATGGTTTAGGGTTTGGGGTTTAGGGTTCTTTTACAGGGATCTGTATGGTTTAGGCTTTGGGGGTTTAGGGTTCCTTTAAACGGACCTATATATGGTTTAGGGTTTCGGGTTTAGGGTTTAGGGCTTAAGGTTTAAGGTGTAGGCTTTAAAGTAGGGGTTGAGGTTTAGGGTTTAGGGCTTACAGAAAGGGTTCGAGGTTTAGGGTTTTTGGGGAGTCAGGATTTTGGTTCAGAAAGGGCAGAGTTTAGGGCGTCGGGTTCCCATGGAGGGGTCTATATGGCTTGGGGTTCTGTTAGGGTGAAGGGTATTTTATAAGCCTAAACCCTGAACCCTAAACCGAAGGGTTTGGGGTTTAGGGGTTTGGGGTTTTGGGGTGTAGGGTTTTGGAAACCCTAGACCTTAAACTCTGGGGTCCGACATCCAGGGTTTAGGGTTTAGGGCTTCTTTGGTCTAGCTTTTCGGCTTTGGGGATTAGGGCTTGTGGGGTTTAGGATTCTGGGGGGCCTGAATCGTGAATTGGAGTATGGTTGGTTTCAGGCTTCGACGATCATCCTAAGCCCTACACCCTAAGGGGTGGAGTGCTCTAGGGCTTCAGGACTCCTATCAGGGCGAGCTCAGGGGCTCTATGAGGTTTTAAGGGGCTTAGGGTTTAGGGTTTAGGAATTAGGGTTTAGGGATGAAAAGAGGTTGTGCATGTCGCACTGCTCCAAAAATCGAAGATTACAGCAAAAGGGGGCAGGACCTAAAGTGCTCTAAACCGCAAGACTCTCGGAAGGACAGTCAAGCAAACAACAACCTAGACCGCCGACCTTGAAATCAACACACAAGTTTAAACCGTATAGCTTATAACACGCAATATACACCTGTGCAAACCTGTAAGAACCTCTAAATGCCCCTGCCATACTGACCCCAAAGAGCCCAGTTCCCTATGATGAGATTTTGGTTATGGGCGCTACAAGATTCATGAAGGGTTTTTTAAGAACAGTAGCCCTCTATATA